GAATGATTTTATTTTCTAGGAGAACGCCATTTATATAGATGCTTCAAAATTCTAAATATGACTTAAGAGAAATTGGTGGATCAATTTAAGGTCGCGAGAGAATAGCAAAAGGGACTAATGGTTCTCATGTTCCATGACCGATCATGTCGGTAAATTGTGGTGCTCTTAGGGTTTCTATCATTTTATAATTAGAGAATAAATTACCCCCATATAAATTATAACATGTAAGTATTAATCAATCCTTTTTACGTTTTCTAGAGATGTTAGAATCCTTTTATTCCTTGTACCATTCATGTGTCATTCCAAGAGGAATCTATATAATTTTGAGAATAAAAAAGTAAACTGAATATCCTCTTTTTATTAGTATAAAAGAAAAATACAAATATAACAAGTTACATTTCATTTTTAGCAAAAAAAAAAAAACAAGTTACATTTCATGTCTCGCTATAATTTATTCACATTCTATATATATTAATTGAAGAGACATTAGAGACAAAAATCCTGGATGTTGTTCAAATAGCATTTTAGGGGACACATTAGTTTATTTAACCAAGAACATTTCAATTTAAGTTATATGCCATGGGAAAATTTTTGTATATATATATATTCTCACTAATTTGTAAGGGTTTAGGCTCCCATGTTAGGGATTAGTATCCCTAAATTTTGAAAAAGTGATGATATAATATGAATGAATAATGTTAAACGTTTCTTTAAAAAAGTTAATGAAAAGTATAATTAACTAAATAAAAAAAAATTGGAGTAATTAAAGTTAATAGAAATGAGAAAACTCAAAAATAGGATGACAATAATAGTGAAAAAAGGATAAAAATATCATAAATCATAGAATTAATTATCTTCAAAACAAATAAATAAATATAGAAAATAAATGTATTGTTTTGAATACTTAACGTGTATTTGTGATGGTTTGGACTTACATTTTAGGGTTTAGTACTCCTGAATTTTGTTAAAAAAATAAATTGTTTTCAATAGTTTATATGCATTAGTGAGGGTTTAGGCTCACATCAATTAAATAAAGAGTGAATTTGCTGAATGACAAGAAAAAATGATTTAATTAAAAAAATAGCAAAGAGAAAATTGGATTTAAGGAATTAACAAAAGAGTATCGAAAAAAATCAAGTGGCAAAAAAAAAAAAAAGTTTTGTATGTGCTGCGCGTGGTGAACATTGGTAACGAAATTGATTGCATCATTTAATGCTTTTTTGAACTTTTTG